ACAAATTTTTTTTACGCTCAAATGTTCATGCAATATTTTATTGATGCTAGTCATACTAATGTCCAAAGACGCCTCTATCTCACGGTATGTCACATGACGATCTTGCTTTATCAGTTCACGCACAGCATCGATCTTTTCTGGCACAACAACGGATTTTGGACGACCTGCACGGGATTCGTCCTGGATCGAACATCGACCACGATTAAATTCGTTATACCAATTTTTTACAGTGCTGTAGGATGGCGCTTTATCGCTGAATAAAGAATTAAGTTCATCGAAGCACTCTTGTCTTGACAATCCACGTCGAAAGTTATGAAAAATAATGGCACGAAAATGTTCACGATTCAATTCCATTTTTTGAAAGAGAAGAACTTTTCAATTTACTGTCAACAACACAAATGAAGCTATAATGGTAAATCGTCTGCTGAATTTATGTTTAAAAATATCAAACTTTCGATTAAAATCATCTGCGGTCGCCTAGCAACAATTACTGTTGCCAAGACCAGAAATATAAATAGCAGCCCTCGTAGAGTCTCGGTGCTGCCATCTAATGTGGCAGAAACTAGACGTCCAAATTAACATGATTAACGGTATGTCACCCACTGCGGTGGTCCTGAAAGAGTGGATACCACTTCTGGAGAACGCAGTAGGTTTGCTCATCGGCAAGACCGAATGTGCTGCTCATTGAAAATAATTGCAAGTGCAATTTGATGTACGATTAGAAATGTCTCAATAAAAATGATTAAACCGCAATTTATTTAATTGTTACCTTGCCATATTCAACAAAAACAGGCAAATGACCATAAAAAATTTAATATTCAAAAGTTAATATTAAGTGTGTGAAAAACAGTTTATTGATTTTTTTTTCCTAATACGGTTTAATAACCAAAATTTTAACCGCGCAAATTAAGCCCACCTTATGAAACCATTTTGTTCCATGCAGCTGGGTACGTACTGTAGTTAAGAGAGCTAAGCGGACAATCTCATGGCTGCCTGAACATGAGTTCGAATCCTAGCACTATTACCGCGATATTTCTTCCATTTCCAGAAAATGCAGAATGTCCTGCACTCTTCAATCGGTAACCTCTAGACTATTAGAATACAAAACTATCAGACACGTGTATATGGCGCAGTGCCCATAAAGCTCCATTGTCTGTTTAAATTTTAGTTTTAGGATTCAAAAACTATGTTTGCTGTAAATGGTTATAAAACTGTATAGATTTGCATTCAAGGTTTTTCAACCATACCCATTGTAAGCGGTTTCAGAACTGTAAAGTTAAAGGAATGTTCCAAACCATAAACTTAATGGTTAATTGGATGGACAGGCTGCTGCCGGTAATTTTAGAATCTGAACTTTGTGGTTTTTAAATGATAGGGATAAATTATGACTTTTTTTTAAAAATTATAAAGGCTTATTCTTGATAGCAAATTTATTGAACCTGCATTAAAATATATTTTACAAAAAAATTTTAAAACTCAATAATATTTACAAATAATTTTAGATTACTCTCAATGTTCATAGCGTATAGTGAAATAAGTTAAAAATAAATGTTAAAAACTGGAAGCGAAAAGAATTTTGTAAAATATTTCGGTAAAAATACGTAAGATTATAAGAATCGAATTTTAAATATCCGACTTTTTAAAAATTCGATTTCTCTGATTCCATGCCACCGATTTCAATCAAATTTTGCATTTAGCCATGTAAATTAATATCTATAAAATGATGTAAAAAATGGCATATCATACAATTTAAAATGTTTTCGATTATTATTAAATAAAATAATAAAAATAACAAAAAATAATAACTATTTAATTAAATTTATTTCTTACAAGGAATTATCTTTGGATAAACAAACGAATTTTATAATTGTATGCATTAATTTTCGATTCACTTAAAAAGTTCTCAAGATATGGAAAAATATGCAAAAGTAAAATTAACATTCAGGGGTTCAAACTTTGGATCGCTTTCCTGACCAAACTATGAAGACCATATTTTTCAGATTGTGGCTACCCCCAATTTTAGGGTGATCAGAAAGTCGAATCCATTTAAAAGAAAGGTATATTTTATTCAGAGAAAGTACGCTTTTGTGTATTTTTTGTAACTTGAAATATCGTCTGCACTTATAAATTAGCATATTTAAGGTCACCCCCTTGAACCATACAGATTTAGTCCTAGAACGTGAAAATCATATACTACTTGGAATTGTAGGGACGAGAAGGAATTTAGATCCAGATATATTTTTTAAAAAAAATAAATACTTCCTAGAAATTATTTTCTTATTTATTTGAATATGAAATAACTTAGTAATTACTTCTTATCCCTTTAGCATTTTTAGAGCTATTATTTGACCATGCTTATAAAAAATAATCAAATGAGTTTTTATCCTTTCGTTGTATTCAGTTGATGTAATAAGATTTATTGAATTTGAATATATTTAATGTTTAAAATCACATGGATATACTGTCTTGAATTTATAGTGCTCTAATATTATATCGTGCTTACTAAACACGTTTGAACGGGTTTTTAAATATAAAATTTTTTGGGGTAGATTAAGAGAAATTTGTATGCTTAATATTCCGTTTCGTATTTATCCGTTTACATTTTATTTATTTTTTATTCTTCTCTAGACGGAGTTTTTCTCAAGGCTATATTTCAAAATTATTCATCGTATTGTTATTTAATTTTTGAAACAAAATAAGTTAATTTAAATTAAATTATGCATACGTTTAAAGAAAGTTATGGCCTTCATTAAAATTCTTTCAGGGCAAGTATTTAGTTTATGATAGAAGTGTATTAAGTTTTATTCAACGAGCGATGGAATCTCATATGATCTTATAACTTTTTTTAAAAACATGGAGCAGAATTCAATAACATATCATATTTACATCTTTAAAAAAATATTACAAAATTTTGAAGTTTTTCTTAATTTATTTAAGTGTTTAAATTATGTTTTTGACAACCTAATGATGCCTTTTGTCAACTTTAATAAACCCTAACCCATGTTCTATTTAATGCTGCTTTTTAACAAACTTAAATGAGTATAGAATATCTCTTATAAAATCAAATAAAACAAAAGTAAACTAGAATAATTTTATTCGTTGAACAACTCTTATGTGCATGCACCACACGGAGAAAATAATTCTGGTAAAATTACCGCACTGTGTGGTAATATTTCTGGTAAAGAGAATCATAATCTGGTTAATAAATCCAAAATGTAAGGAATTTAAACCAATTAATTTGGTAATTTATCCGTTTACATGGTGATGGAAATTCCAGTTTTTAAAATTACAGTCTAAAAAAGTTACATGATAAATATATATTGCTAGTATAATATGTAAGAACATTTCGACTCACAATTTTACTCAAAATTTCACACGGTGACAAAAATCCTGGTAAAAATTATCATAACCGGTAAGAAAAGAAAGAAAAATCTGGTTAATAAATCAAAATATATGGTATTTAAACCATTTGTTTGGTAATTTTTCCCTTCATATAGTTACGGCTTACTAGAAACTCTGGTTTTAAAAATTAAAGAGCCAACATTTAATAAAAAATACTGAACTGAAAAAAAATTATAATTATTATACATAATAAAAATCTTAATAAATGGTGTTTATACCATGCTTATTATACACTTAATCACTTATTACTAAGCCTTGTATTATTCTTAATTTCATTATAATCATTAACAAAGCACTTTTAATGCACCCATAGAACCAGGAACTCGGTAAAATTGAACATATTCTGGTAGATTTGACCATGTTTTTTATCAATGCAGAATTGCAATTGCTCAGTGGATAACCGACACTGAGTGTCAGTTATCCACTTCACACTCAGTCCTTCACTATTCTAGGGAAGTACTGGAGTTTGATCCTCAGTGGCGGATTCAAGCTTCCCTAGCCTCAGATCACTGTGCACCAACGTGCCTAGGAACTAACGTCGTCCCAAGACTGACCACTTTTCCCCAATGACGACGTTTGCTTCAAAAGTTTTGAACCTTTACCTCCAAGATTCCCTTGCCCAAAAAGGGCTATCGTAGAAGTGCAAAATGCTTTAAATCTAAATGTTTTGTGGACAATGACTTTTTATTTGTTTAGCTCGTTGAAGTAGGTAGGTACTTTATTTACGTCTCACTGAAGTTGCACAGTTGGCTGAAAGTCTGGGAAACATACCTGAAATAAATCAGCAGACACTGCATCTTCTGCAGAAGGGATGGCTCCCCACTCTGGTAGCATGACGACCAGTGAGCTAATTCAAGCACCTTACGGTAGAGCAGTTTAGCAAGGACCGATACCGCTTCCCCTCGGTCCGCTCACCCTACTCAGGCTAATCAGAGTGGTCACATCACTTACTGACATCAGCCAGTAATGTTTGACTTCGGTGTTCTACTGGGACACGGTTGTCTTTATAATCAGTACACTGCGTGCTGTGATGGCTCTGGGGATAGAGCGTTCGCCTTCCAATCAAGTGAACCGAGTTCGAATCTCAGCGATGGCTGGTCGATACGATTACCGCATCCGTCTTGCACCGAACGCAGTGCTGACGTAAAATATCCTCAGTGATAGACGGATCATGATTTAGGGTCCCCTTGCCGTTAGACTGATCGTGGGAGGTTTTGTGGTTTTCCTCTCATTGTAACTCAAGTGCGGGTTAGTTCCATGGAAAATTCCTCCACGGAAGCCAAATTTCTCCCAATACTTGATCCAAGAGTTCCCTTGTGTTCTGGATTGGGTTCAAAATTACAAGGCTACGGAATTGAACATTAGTAGTTTCAAACCCAAAATATTTGGTCGGCAGTTCAAAGACGAATAAAAATCAAATCTAATCATTCCACTGCGGGACTAAGCTCGTTCGAAAAGTAACTAAATTTCGTATTGTAAATATTTCACTTTTAATTGCATAATACAATATTTTATTCATCTATACATACATTTTAAATTGTTTCGATTTGTACATAAAATTTTATATTTACATAATAAACAACAGTACATATTACAACAGTAAAAGTGTGGAATATGATTAACAATGGTCAATGAGTATCAGACTAGTCCATCATGAAGAATAACAATTGTTACAAATACATAAGAAATGTAAGGATTACAATTCGCAAAGTTTAATTACAATCGAAATATATATTTCTAGAAAGCAGATTAGTTAATTAAGTGCTTAGTTTTACTTAATACCTGCTATTGAAAACTTTTAACTTATTTTCTTCTTCGTCTACTGTAACTTCACTGCTTGTTTTCTGTAATTTTATTTCTGAAACGCTTGTAGAATTTCTTTCCCCCATATTTTCTTCGGCAGATTTGTTAAAAATGCATCCTTCTATAATTTCATATGGTGCTTGAAAAATAATGTAACAAACAAATGCTAAAGCATAACTCAATACAGCATAGGCTAGAAAGCACATAAGCTGGAAATAGAGGTAAAGTAAATTATGTTAATTTAAATAGATAAACAAAAAATATGCAACCGAATAAATAATTTTGCTAACTGAAAAATACCTCTTAATCCTTCTCTCTATTCATTTTTAATCAATTTTATCTCTATCAATTTTATATCGGAGAATCGTGTACTATTAAATCCTATTTATATTTCCACTTGAACAGTTTGAGTCTAAATCATTCAAATGAATTCAACGACTAAATAATATGGGAATTGAATGGACTTTTTTAATTTTATTATTTAATTTTAATAGTCGAAAGCTTTTTGAATGATAAGTTATACACATTTTTATAACATCATAAATTATGTAATTTTAAATAACAAAATACAAAATTTGTATTAAATCAGGCGAACAGTTTCTAACTAAAATTGTAATAGATTTTGTCTTTCAATCAACGCGATTTTAATCAATCAATTTTTAGTTCGAAAAATGTAAGGATTACAGTTCATTGTGGATATTCATGCAATGACCAAAATTCTTTTTGGCTTTTCCTGAGTAAAAATTTAAAACAAATTTCCTGCTTCACACAGAGTGAAAATTTGTTAAGGAACAACGAACGAACAGGCAAATGAATCATTAAAATTTAGTCTTACAACGTGTAAATCTGATCATATGATCAAAGGTATTAGCGTCCTTTTCCCCCCCAATTTCATGCACTATATAGTACATTCTACATTATATGCATTCTACTGTAAGTAAGACTATAAACGTGGGTTTTGTGTTCACACAGGATTTTATCTAATACTGAATTATATGATGATTCTACTATAACTCACTTATTTTTTAAATAGCCCTTTTATTTGTAATAATTTAACTATAGTCAGTTTTCGATGAATTATGCGTAAAACAAATTCATAAAAAACTGGAACTCTGTTTTCAAACGTATTTTTAGCTGGGTTTTTTTTTCAAAAAGAAAGAAAGTGGTTATAAAAGTGTTTGGCTGTTAGGACTTGTTTTGTAAATATATAAGATAGTCCTGTCTAATGAAATATATCAACAATATAAATATTTATAATTTGATCTGAAATTAATGAAACGGTGTTACGCACTTGGTGCAGACAAAAATGTACTGTCCCTTTTTATACGGATGTTTTTCATATATTGACTACTTTTTATGGCTGAGCATCAATGCTTTAAAAATATGACAAATGATGATGATATATCAGAAATTACATGGATTTATGAAAACTACCTTCAGTTGTATAGGTTATTAAACCATTGAGTCATTGCCAGTTTTAAGAGTTATATTCAGATATTTTATATATTTTAAAATTAAAAGTTCTACCTTTTTGAGTAAGTATGCTCATTAAAGTTTAGGTACAAAACATCAAAAGCATCCATTTTATAAATTCAATGAATGTATTAAATTTATTATTATTTGATTATTTTATTTTTATTTTTTTCATTTCTTTTTTAGAATTTTTAAAAAATATATGATTAAGATTAATTATACAATGATTATTTACCAGTTAAATGCGTCTTCTCAGTTTCAAAACAGTAATTAATCATGTTATGTTTTTCAAAAATAACACGTACAAAAATTCAAAAACATATGGTATAGTTGCTAAATATTTATCATCAACGTAAAAATAAAAAAAAGCTTTACATTTGTAACTTAAAAGTACTCAGATACAATCTCGAAACTAGGGGAATCATAAGTTGCTTTTCGAATTGAATAATGAAAGGGATAAAAAAAAAAAAAAAAAAAAAAAAAAAAAAAAAAAAAANAAAAAAAAAAAAAAAAAACTAGTGACGTAATATCAATGTAATCTTCTCCTTCTAGAACATTCCTATTATTAACTATCCCAACATTTTTTAAAAATATGTGTTAATATACTTATCCAGATGAAAACAAGGCGTGCAAAAAAGCCTAATAATAGATAAATCTCGGATTCCTTGCCTGAAGACACTAACAAAAGCGAAGATGATAGCAAAATATGACTGGACATTATCTACCAATTTGCGTCATAATGTGGCCTTGTTACACAAGGCCACACTGAATCCTCCGCTCATTCAACTTTAATAGACAGCGAGTCACGCAAGTTGCAATAAATACTTCACTAATCTAGAATTGACTTCGACAAAGACATTAGAAAAAAGTTCATAGGGTATTTATTGAATATCTTACCTGATTGTAATGTCCCATGTACATCCTTTCTCTTTGAACTCCACCATGGTAATACATTATGGGAATATGCAAAAGGTATGCCAAGTAACTCAGTCTTTCCAACGGCATGAAAGCTTTCCATGTTAGAAATGAGTTCACGACGCCTGGAAAGTGAAATAAAGGATATTAGAAATAAATTGTTATGTCGACGTGCTAAACATTTTTATAAACCATGTATATTTACATGCTCGACATCCCATATTATCAGTCTACTTTCTGTAATACGAACTCTCTAACAACGAGCATTTTATTATAACAATGGATACTTAAAGCCCATAGATTAAGTATTCTTTTAACACACGTTAGAATTTAAGCCCTGAGCTTTTCAATATAGTGACTAAGAACCTTCCAATATAGCGACTGATATTTGATCATAATTTATTTAGAATATATTGCAAACATTTAAGCTATTATTTTTATTTGATGTTACCGCATATTTAATGTAAAAAATCTTAAATCTCTTTCGAATAAAGGAAGTGTAACACAATCCCTTACATCGTAAAAAAATTTGTGTAAATGCCATTTATAAAAACCATTTATTTGGTAAAATTCACTTCTACGTTTTGTATTTTTTTACTAAATGTATGCTAGTAAGAACTATAATTGTGAAAGCTAGAATTTCTGCTTGACCATTGCCATATGAACGGAAAAATTAACATATGAATGTTTTAAATACTGTATAGTTTTATTTTTTTTAACCACAATTAAGTTTTCTTCACCAGAAATGTCATTACCATACCTTACAGTAATTTTACTCGAATTTTTTCTCCTTTTAGATATAATTCGCTCTTGGTTGATGAGAAAAATTTTGCGCTTACTCCTATTACTTCAAATTGTTTTCTTTTATAATTGTTTTTCAATTTTACTTTTGTTAATAAATTTTTAACTAAGTTAATAACGTATTAGAGAATTTACTGAAACGTAAATTAAAGGATAAGATAAATTCCTAGGTCGCTGAAAAAGAAAGGAATCGCGAAAAAAACATGCTTGTGAAGAAATATTTCGCAATGATTATTTTTAAATGAACTATATGAAACAAATTATAATATATGCTGACTCGTGACAACTTTTCCTCAAAAATCATTTGAATAATTAATGATTTAAATACCACCAGCTGCACGTTAATTGACAATAAAACAAGAATCCAATAACTTTTACATATGAATGTAAAGTGAAGTGAAAACATTTATCCGTAGTGAAACTAAAATTATGACTTTTACCTTTTAACGGGTGACATTTATGAGGAAATAAAACTAATGTGAAGACGAATTATTCGTGCAAAAATACTAAAAATTTTACAACTTTCCCGGAGAATATTTTGATATTCATGAAATGTCTTATGATCCATTCGTGATTATAATACGCAAAATCAGCAATTTTAGATTATCGATGTATTTTGAAAATATATTTTCCTTCTTCGCCCCTCATTAAAAAAGAATATTTTAAAAATAGACTGAAGAAATCATGAACTGTTTGGAGGAAAAGTGAAGAGATTTGAGACACTTCCATGTGAATCTTAAGCGAAGAAATAAGTAAGCATATTTTTCACTTTTTGATTTTAAAAATGATATTTGTGACTGTATAACGTCATCATTTTTAAAAATAGTCATATTTATGTCCAAATCATTTCTAAATTCTGCATAACCAGATCTTAAACAAAAATTGTATGATGAGATCTAAAGTCTGATCTGAAGATCCTTCACAATTTTTTTTTATGAATAAAGGGTGTGAATATTATGATTATCATCTGACTAGCCGATGGGAACTTTAAGTGATAATCAACGTTAAATAAAATCAAATTCTTAAAATATTTCTTTAGGAATTTAATTTTACTACCTGGTCCAAAAAAGTCAGTTTATCTGATGCATCTAAACTTAAGATTTTAAATCATTTTAAAATAATCATAATAAGGCATAAATTACAATCTAAACTTTTCTACAGTATTATCAATGAATCTATTAAAGAGGACACTATACCACAGGCGAAACTTTTGATCGCAAATTTTCTTTCACCTCTATAATTACTTTAAAATTTTTTAAAGTATTGAAAAAGTGAGTAAGCCATGAAGCTTCAAGTTCCGAAAATAAATTTTTAAAATATCTAAATGATACCAAATTATGAGAAGATAATTGAACAACGGAGAAGTTCTCTTCTAATAATTTGGTATCATTTTGATGCTTCAGAATTTTGTTTTTCAGCAAATAAAACTTAATGTTAAATTTAGGTTTGATAGAACTCAATTTTTTTTTTCTACTTTAAATTAATTATGGAGAGGAAGCAAATTTTGCGATGAAAAATTTCTTCTTAGGACCATTTGGTTTACGAAGACTGTTGAATAAAATTTACATCTCCTAGTGTAATTGTATTTTCTGAGAACCTTTGATGAAGTTAAACTACAAAAGTTGTCGGTATATCTTCACATTTTCAGAAGCAAGCATGTAACGTATATTGTTTGAAGAAGATTTGAAATGCTAATTTAAATTTCAACTTTTATTCAAGCAATATGGCGTCTTAAGCACTGTGAGTAAACATTATCAGTAATACCTTCTTTGTACAAAAAAAAAAAAAAAAAAAAAAAAAAAAAAAAAAAAAAAAAAACGATTTTTTTTTTAATAACTTTTGATCTAATGATTGGAACTTACGACTCATTCTTAATGGCTCGAGGTGGCCTTCTAAAATATGTCAATGAATAAGTGTTTCAATTTACGAAATCAGACACAAAAACGTACTTTCAGTGAATAAACATGCCTTTATTTCGACAGATTAAGATTTCTGATCTCCAAAGGGGTAGAGGGGGTGGCCTCAAATCTGGGAATATGGTCTCCATAGTTCAGTCAGGAGAGGGCTATAAAGTTTGAACCCCTTAATGCTAATATTACTTTTTGCGTATTTCGCTGTATCTCGAGAATTTTGTATGCGAATTAAAGAATTTTTACTATCAATTATAAAAATTCATTTTTCCGTTCCGTGGAAAAAATAACTTTTAGTAAATATTTATAGTTTTTATTATTTTAATTAAGAATGGTAAAAAAAAATTTGATCAATTGTAAGGTATGCACTTTTTTGCACCATTTTAAACAACGTAATTTTTCATGGTGAAATTCCGAATTTGAACGAAATCTATTTCTCAGGAACTATTAATTAGTATATTTGAGGTCCCTCCTCGAACCATTACGATTTGATTCCTAGAACGCGTAGATCCGATTATTAGATCAAAAGTTATTCAGGGTGGTCCGTTTTTTTGGCGTACTGATATCGAAATTATTTGAACAACTTTTTTTGTAGCAGTTAAAAATTTTTCATTTTAATCGCTACTTTTCTTCTTTTTTTAAAATTTTATTAAAGGATTAGGAAAAAGTCAGAACTTACCCCCGTAACCGGTTGCGCAAGCGTAAATTATCCAGCCAATTACAAGAGCCCATGCAGGTCTATGAAAAGCCGCATAGAAAACAGCTAGACTTCTTGACATTTCTGCCCCATCACGATAATCATACAAGCCTAAGACTATGGAACTCATTGTCAACAATGAAGCCAACCAAGCCAATAGTACGAGCCTCTAGATGTGCAAAATTAAATAAAACATATAGTATATCGAACACGAAGCCTATGATATGATTTTAGAAGATTATAAATATTGTGTCATGGTTTATTTACACTCAATCTATTTTGTTCAAAGGTCAAAGAATCTCATATAATAATAACCAACAACCGGTAGTCACGCGATAGTTCAAAGATTTAAAAATTCAACCAAAAGAACAACTAGTTGAAAATTAGTGGTTTGCTGCGTTGTACTTATTTAACTTAAACTTATTGTAAAACTATTGTTTGGTTATTGTAAAACTAATGTTTATTGTAAAACTTGGTGAGTAAAGATACCCATTTCTCAAGTAAAGTGCAGTAAATTGTTAATTTTTATAGTAAACTGAACTAAATAACTAAATTATGCCCCCTTTTCTAAAAAAAATAAGTATATTGTTATTTTTTAGAAGGAATTACATTGAATTAAAAGTAAGATTTCAAAGTGAAAAATTTTGAATCGCGTTAAAACATGCATACAAGCATAATTCTTCCACGAATTCCAGATTGCTAGTTTCCTTGATATGTGTTAAACTGATAGTTGTGACGCATCTTTATTTACTACTAGCCGCCTAAGGCGGCCAGCCGTCCGCCACGCTGAAGTTTTTCACAAATAAAGTTTTTTAAAACATAGCAGGAAATCTGAAGATTAGTGGACAATTGGGTATAATATGAAAAAAACACAACTACTTCGATTTAGTAGGAACAACATATGACGCAATGCTAAACGAATGGAATTTAGTTGTTGTTTATTTAGTTATTGTTATTAGTAGTTGTTGTTATTTGTTTTAGTTGTTGTTGTTTATTTAGTTGTATTTAGTTTCAATAACTTTTCTTTATAATGCAATAAAATCTGGCGAGCAGCTATT